CTCAAGGCAAGAAGAGCTTGGAGTGATGTATTCCAAGCTCTAAAGGAAAACAGACTCCAACCCAGATTGATGTACCCTGGAAAACTATCTTTCAAAACTGGTGAAGAAATAAGATGCTTTCATGACAAAGAGCACCTTAGGAACTTCATGAATACCAAACCAGCACTCCAAACCTTTTTAGATAATATCCTAGGAACAGACAATGAGAATCACAACCCCAGGAAAACCAGCAGAATGAATCCATCAGGCGCGACAAGAAATTAAACTTAAAGTGGGAGAATCCAACAAAAAGAAAAAGTCGTGACAATGATAAGTCAATATGTACCAGTTACAACCATCAACGTTAATGTCTCAATTCACCAATCAAAAGAAATGGACTGGGAGAATGGGTCAAGAAGCAAGATCCAACAATATGGTGCATAAAAGAAACACACTATATTCAAAAAGAAACTCATAGGCTGAAAGTTAAAGGGTGGAAAAAAATACTCCATGTGACGGGAACCCCCCAAAAAAGCAGGAGTAGCTATCATCTTTGCAGATCAAGTGGATTTCAAACCAAAATCTGAAACACTTCTGGCCCCAAGGATTTCAGATAAGGGATAGTCAACTTGTATGTACAAATCTATTGTGAACATGTGTTTTCATTTCTCTTAAGTAAAAACTTAAGAACAGAACTGTTGGTTCTTAACAGTAATACAAGAAATTTCTATACTGTTTTCCAAAATGGTTTTACCATTTTACATTCACATTAGCAGCATTAGAAAGTTCTAACTGGTTCACACCTAAGTTGACATTTGGTTCTTTTAAAACTTTTAACTTAATCTTCCTAATGAGTGTATAATACAATCTTGTTATTGTACTGATTAGTATTTTTCTCTTTTTTTTATTAGTATTTTTGTTATTCTCGTTTTGCACACCTTTCCTTGTGCTGTACTGGCTATTTATCATCTTCTTGTGTCTACTTTTTAATTGGGTTGTCTATTAATGAGCTGTAAATGTTTTTTATATATTCTGGTCATAGGTTATATGTATTATAA